TACGAATTTATTTGAAGTCACAATACAGCAACAAAGGAAACTTAAATTAGAACACAAATCATATTCTCAGATCTAAGAAACTAGAAATTAGAGATAACCTCAGATCTAAGAAACTGGAAATTAGAGATAACTAAACCCAAGCAGGTGAGCAAATCTCGGCGTGATTATTTTATCCAAAATCATGGGCTCGTATACATCTCGCAGGCAAAATCAAATCCAAATGTCATCGAGCAATAAGCCAAAATAATCGGATATCAAAAACAGTATAGGAATGGTAGTAGATGCGGAGAAGCCTGAATTTCACATTTCACTGAAGCATAGGAATTTGAATCTCATGTTTCATCCAAACAATTACGATGAAACGCAAGTCTTGTGATAGAAAAATAAAACTTACCTCCAAATGCCTGACGAACAGAGAGGGAGGGAAAGGGGACTTCAGACAATCAGGGGGCGCGAGCGAGGAGAAGGAGCAGTGTTTAGGGCTAGGGCTTTGGTGCAGTGAGGTGAACTCGAGCGGACGAAGCCGAACAGGGGTCTTCGGTCGAGCGCGAGAGAAGTGGGCGAGCTTAGATGCAGAGAGGCGGAGGCGAGCGAGGGTGAGCGGTCTTCGGCTTGTTTGGGGGAAGGAGGCGTCGGATGCAATGTGGAGGAAGGAGGAGTCGAACGAGAGAGAGGAGTTCTTCGACGCAGAGAGAAGACGCGAGGAAGAAGGCTTCGGTCTCGCGAGAGGGTGATCAGGGGCTTCGATCGCATGAGAGAGGAAGTAGACTGGAGCGGGAGCGAGCGTAGGATGATGGAATCAATCCTTCTGTCAAGGCCAATTAGTATAGCCGAAGATTCAATGGAGTCGTTACGTGAAAGCTTTGGCGGGGAATTGAATACTTTCTTTCGATGTAGTCGGCTCAATTGGAAAAGAATAAAAACAAATTATTTTCACTTAATACGAGTTTTAAATATTCTGTTTCAATTTTGAAATTTAAAATTTAAAATTCGTGAGCTGAAATAATTAGTCCGTGCTTAGCCCATTTCCAGCCCAAGTCAAACTGGAGTTGAACCTGGGTTGAGTCCCGGCCCACACCCGCTAATTAAAAACAATGTGCATCGATTTTTGTGTGATCTACTCGTGCGCAGAACTATAGTGATATGGGTGTTCTTTCTAGCTAAAGTCGACGTTCCAAACGCGACAGTGTGATCCGTTTTGTCATCCGAGGTCGTCCGGACAAGTTTGTCGATGGTCGGGCCAAAAAATGTGTCAACTTCGGACGTGGTCTACCGAGTGCGTTGCTGAGTCACGGAAGGTTCACCTAAGGCCGTCTGATTCTGTAGGAACTCATTATCGGGCCCTCTGCATGTTGGTCATTAGACCTTGCAACTAGAAGTTGAGTGCTCGGAATCACTCATGCTAGTTCTTCACAAAAATGAGTCAAGAAGTGGCTCAAAGCTCAACGGGAGGTGGGCTCCATTACTAGTCCGCTAGGATGGTCAACAAGAGACTTGTAAGGCTATATTTTAGGTTCTGAGAGTAGGAAACTAAGATCTCACTAAAAATGAGGTCAACACCTTCATGTCATAATCTAAGTCAAATCATCTTCATGAGAAATTGATCTCGCACTTAGCACTACGTTGCCTTGAAAGAGGCAGAGATTGCCAGGTTCCTTTGTTCTCATCAAAATCATACCTCTGAAAAATGTGTAGTAGTTTTTCTTCAACATTGTATATACACTCATTTGAGTCCAAATGACCCAAAAAGAATTAAATTCTTCTTTAAACTTGTCACATGTTTGGTCAATCCCAAAATCCCCAAAAATCAATCTATTTTGATTAAAATTAATCTTTTAAAACAATCATGTAAGTCATGCTATCCATAAGGACATTTCCTCCATCATTAACTCATTAAAAGGTACCAGTCCCTTTGTGTAGTCATATCATAAAAACAACAAGAACCAAGAAATTCCAATGAAAAAATCCTTACAATGACAATTATGACATCATATTACTTCTTAGCCTTTGATATTGTTCCAACACTTCCTTGCTTTCTCCAAGCTTCCACACATCCCCATGGATAATTCTTCGATCAAGCATTATTCTTACACCTTCCTTCACTCATCAAATAGAAGAGTATGACTAATCTTCATCATGGGAATCGCATCTTTCTCATGTATTAAGATGGTTACAATGTGATCATAAGAGAATGATAGCAAACAAATTAAGATCTGATTTTATCCTCCTCTTCAAACTTCAAAGCAATATTTATATTATTCAATATAAGTTTGTTGCAGGGATTCAAATGCACTTGCAGTAAAGCACATTCCATTACGTGGAATGCAAATAATGGCTGCTTCAATTAAAGTGATTATCTAGCAACTTAGTTGTGTAGAGAGATTTCAATTCCTGCATACCTTTGCAAAACCCATGATTTTGAAAAACTTAGGATGGTCAGATTAAGGGCTTTCAGATCATCTCCTTTTCTCATATGGGCTGGTAGGGAATTCTTCTGCTTTAAAGTTTAAAGCAACTCCTTGCACAAAATGCTCACATCTTTATTATTTAAAGGTTAAAATCATTAATCTCATTAAAATTCACAAGTTCATAGTCAGTGTGGTGTGACAAAAGACTAAGATCCTTTGATGGCGGTATGTCCTGGGTAAAATCAAGCTCTCATGCCAATCTGTTAAATATTAAAGGGCTCAAATCACTTTCTTTGAGAGTGCTAAAGAGAAAAATAGGATCAACCTAGGACAAAAAAAACGAGCATGACACAAATATGATAGGAAATAAGCAAATAATCATAGAGACAAGATAAATAAAACTGGCATATTTCTACAAAAAATGACCTACATCCCTGGGGCAAGGAGGCACAGCTAAATCAGTATTAAAATCTATGGAGTGTAAAAATAAGAGTAACAATATCTCTACCAAATTATCTTCTTAAAATATAACAGAAAGGGGAGGAGGAGAAGATATAACCAAAACTTAAAGGAACATTTCAAGAGAAACAAAAATAAAAAAATTTATAAAAAAAACCAATTCATTTCACCAAATGACAACAAAAACCAAAGATCTTTCTCCTTGAGTATCATGCCTTATAATCCAACATGAGGGGCACTTGATTGCTCCTTTGCTGCCCTTGTACCCTTCCACCTCCCTATTTTGCAACATATTATTGCCACCAAAAGAATTAGTGCAACAAATATATTTCATCTCCCTCACTCTTGCTAGCTAGTTTCATACTCGCTCGCTCCCATTCTTTAATTTGTTAGCATAAACAAGTCTTCCAACCTTCCAATCTAGAAACTAATGTTAAAGTGGAACTAAATACCTCATGAATTTTATATAATTCCTAGCAATTTCACTGGATGGTTCAAAATATACAAAAGTACATTTACATTTTACATCTTTATTATGGAGAAAAGTACTGCTCAAGCAAAAATTCCAGATAAAGGACTTGAAGCATCAATTAGCTCTTAAAAAATTGATGGCAGCAATAGCTTCAGGAAAAAAAAAGGTTACCCAATTAATAAAAATTAGGGATAATTACATGTATAGCACTCGAAACATTACCATTACAAAAGTAACAACCAAACGATTTTTTTGAACAACCTAACTGATGCCTCTGTGCATGCCACGATCAAATTAAACCATTAAATTTTTTATAAAAATGAAAAAATATGGGTTTAGGTTTTATCATGATTTTTTTATATTTGAGTGAAATTTTAAAAATGGATGAAAGATGATGCTAGATTTGTAACTTATAATGTTTCGAGTGTTATGTATGTAATTGCCCCTAAAATTTATTGGTACTATGTAGAGTTGTAAATGAACCAATGAACTTGATGAAACAACTCGAACTCGACATGATTAATATTAGATCAAATTTGTTTAAATTGGTAAATAAACAAGCTTGAACATTTTTTTAAAATTTTGAATGTTAAATGAACTAAATATGAATATTGTCCAACTTTATTTATGTTTACGAACAAACTTGTTTGTTGTTCAACAAATGATTTATTAAATACTTGATATTAGGCTAGATGATAACTCATATCATATATGATAAATTATTTAAGTAAAATTTGATTAACTATAATTTATTATTTAAAAATTTAATAGTAATATATTATTATATATTCATTTTATTAATATATATTTATTAATTAACTCAATTTTATAATTAATACATCATTATCCAATAGATTCAATAAATCACGTGTTTTAATATTAATTAACTAATTAATCATTTTCTAAATATATATTATCTTTTTATTAGTCATATAATTCAAATTAGTTGCATAATATTGTATCTTTTTTCTTGTCTATGAATATGTTTGCAACATATATATTTTCTTATTTATTTGTGTAAAATAACTAGATACTAATTCAAATTTATTCAATTACTTATTTATTTAGATTTGTAAAATCATTTGTTGAAAATTTTATAATAAAACCTAGATACCTATTCTAATTCTTAGCTTATTTATTAACTTGCTCAAAAATATTCAATTGACATAAATAAATCAAGTACAAATCAATTTCAATTAATAAAAAGTTTAAACAAGCCAATCTTGAACGAATGAGTGAAACTCGGGTCACGCTTGAGTCGAACATGAACAACTTATAGTATTACCAAGCCAAGTCCAATCTATGATACACTCGGCTCGATTACAACCCAAGTGATATGTATGTAAAGTGCTTGGAAGCTTTGGCTCCCACTCATAATGTCATTGTTCAAGACGTAGAGTTAGAAAAAGGACCATAAGGCAGTGGCATGATTGTAATACTAGATTAACAGGGCGTAGGGGAGTCAAAAAAGAGCATGGTAGATTTTAGATGTGGCAATTCTCATAAACTTGCAGATCAACAAAATTCAGCTAATTAACAATGTTAGCCTCCCAACTAGATAGAAACAAAAGCTGCAGACATAAAAGTATAAAAACTAAACAAGGAAAATAAAAAAAAAAGAAATCAAACTCTTGTTTGTAAAGTCATAGAATTATCATTACCCGCGACTTTGCAACAGCAGCACAGTACAGATCAAGCTTTTTCTTCAGATATGCTGCGTACTCCTCCGGATCAGCACTAGCCGACGGCTCACTCTGCAAAGACTGCGCAACAACCGAAGGACGAGGTCCCTTAATCTCAACCACCTCATCTTCGCTCTTCCTCCATCCTTCCTAGCTGATGACGAGCCAATAGACGACGCTGAATCATTACAGATCGGAATAGGTTTTGGATCCCGGTCAACCTGAAGCCCCTGATACGAATCTGGATTCAGATCGGTCGAAACAGGAATTGAAGAAGTCCTCGGGGGGGCAACCTCTTCCAAAAATTTCTCAAAATCCCACTCTGACAAACTCCGATTCATCAGGCTTCGATCAATCCCACCCGGAGAAGGCGCCCAAAAGATGCTCGCTATCTCCTCCACGGAGAAATTCCTATCCATCTTCTCTCTCTAGAATTTCACTATGGATACGTATGTCTACCCAGAGAAGAAGAAGACCAGAGAGAGAGAGGCCATTGCTTTATCCGTGGCCCATCAAAGTCAGCGATGCGGAAGAAGCCTTATGGTTTTCGGAAAAGTCCATCTTTTTTGTCTTTTCACATTTTTTGCTGTGGATAAATATTACATCAGTACTACGCACGTAGAGGAACGTGCGTACCCAATGAAATCACGCCACGATATCCCACGCGACGCAGAAAAAAAACGGCGCAGTAACACGGGGAATATTCCTCCCCGTGTTATTCATGTGTTATTGTGTGTTATTGTATGCTGAGAATATTCCTGGTGTTATAATAACACAATAACACATGAATAACACATGAATAACACAAGAATAACACGGGAGAGAATATTCCCCCGTGTTACTGCGCCGTTTTTTTCTCTGTCGGGAATATTTCCCGTGTTATTCAAGTGTTATTGTGTGTTATTCATGTGTTATTGTAT